GAGCAAATGCTAGATGCAGAGCGGGCTGGTGTTAAGATTCCTCCGTCCTTTCCTGACCCGAAATGGTGCTGCAGAGCTTCTGTTTGCCCTCATGGCAGCAAACGTAACACACAGGTCCTGCTGATTTTTTTCTGCTGAAGACCTGTACATTTACCTCGCCAGCAAAAACAGCAGGTCCACAGGGGAAAATTGCATTTGGGTCAAGAAGAACATCTATTTATTTTAAAGACTTATTAGCGGCCTTTCTACCTTACAGAAACTTCTAGGCGGCTCACAATGTCAATGATAATTAAATATGAAATACAAACACACCACTAATTAAAATCAATAATTTAAAACTGCTGGTGGTAGGCAAGGAAAACTAATCATAAGAGTAGCTTTGCTGGATCACACCGGAGGCCCAGCATCCCATTTCACACAGTGGCCAACCAGTCATCCCAGAGGGCTGACAAACAGCACAGCACAAAACAACAACAACAACAACAACAAAATAGCTTTGCCAGTGCAAAATAGCCAATAAACCAATATATACAATAAGTACACGGCACAATATTCTATTGCCTAGTAGTATGAGTACTTATCACTTTATCAAGTACAAACAATATGTTTTTACTGGCCATCTGACAGCAGTGCTGATTCTGTGAACTTAGGCAGATCATGAGAGAGAGCACAGGGAGGGTTGCATCAATGCTTAGTTCTCGTGGCCCTTTCTCACACGCCCAGGGAAATGCCCGGAGAGGAGACGACTGAGAGGTGATATGATAACCACTGTCATATAGAGAACGGTACGGAGGTTTTTTTTGTTGCCCCAGAAGGTTGTACCAGAACCAACGGGTTGAAATTAAACCAGAAGAGTTTTCGGCTAAACATTAGGAAGAACTTCCTGACAGAGGGGTTCCTCAGTGGAAAAGGCTTCCTCAGGAGGTGGTGGGTTTTCCTTCTTTGGAGGTTTTCAAAGAGAGGCTAGATGGCCATCTGACCAGCAATGCCGATTCTCTGAACTTACACAGGTTATAAGAGGGAGGGCAGGAAGGGTCGCCTCAGTGCTTAGTTCTTGTGGCCCTTCCTTACACACCCAGGAAAATGCTGATTGCCACTATTTTTTTGAGCTTACTCACTCAACCTGTTTTGGTTACCTAATCTATTTCTTTGGGTTAGGTTTTGTTATTGTCCTGCCCGCCTCCCGTTGGAACCAACAAACAGATCCTAGAGGCTGTGAAGGGAAAGCTTAAACCTTTTTACCCCTTTGCAGTCCCAATAAAAGGTAAAGGTTCCCTTGCTCGAAAGCCAGTCGAATCCGACTCTAGGGTTGCGGTGCTCATCTCCGTTTCAAAGCCGAAGAGCTAGCGCTGTCCGAAGACGTTTCCGTGGTCATGTGGCCGGCATGACTAAACCCCAAGGCGCACGGAACGCTGTCACCTTCCCACTGAAGTGGTACCTAGTTATCTACTTGCAATTTCTTGCTTTCGAACTGCTAGGTTGGCAGGAGCTGGAACTAGAGACAGGAGCTCACTCCATCATGCGGCACACTCGGGTCTCGAACTGCTGAACTACCGACCTTCCACAACCTGCAGTTCAGTGTCTTAACCACTTGAGCCACCGCAGCTCCGCAGTCCCAATACCTGCTTTCTAAAAGCAAAAAACCCGCAGCTCGTTCACAGAACTCCCAGTATCTTGTACACTTCAGTTCTAAGCAACACCACCGCATAGCTCCACTGTCAAGGGGGAGCAATGAAGATGCAGGCCCCCCCTCCCCTTGGTGCCCCATGGCACTGAGTTCTGTATCCACCAGACCCTTATTAAAGAGTTGGCCACCTGACAATCCTCCTCACCTGCAGAGGTCTCCCGTTTATGGAGATTAGGTTGGGGATCCAGACCAAGGGCTCTTCTGTGATTGCGCTGACTGTCGAGGCTCAGCTAAACATTCCATGACCCAAGTTGATTCAGGGGCTGCCTGACCTGGCTTGGATCCCATGTCAAAGGGAGTCAGAGGCATCTGATGAAGGGAGCTCTGTCTCTTGAAAGATCATACCTCAAAAATCTAGTTGGTCGCCAAGGGGCTATTGGACTCAAATCTAGTTGTTCTCCTGCAGATCAACACTGCTACCTGCTGAAACGATGCAGATTGTGGCAGAACCTGAGCATGTTTTACACCAGGTGAGACTACTAATCTGGGAGAACAGGGTTTGATTCCCCTACTCCTCCACTTGCACCTGCTGGATGACCTTGGGCAAGCCATAGTTCTGTCAGAGCTGTTCTTGAAAAAGAGCAGTTTTCTGCCAGAGCTCTCTCAGCCCCGCCTACCTCACAGGGTGTCTGTTGTGTGGAGGGGAAGGGAAAGGAGTTTGTAAGCCGCTCTGAGACTCCCTTGGGTAGTGAAGGGCGGGGTATACATCCAATCTCTTCTTCTTCATAAAAGGAGGGTGGTTTGGTTTTTTTTTTTGCTGATTACCCTCCCCATTGTGGATCCCACCCCCATAGTTGCCTCAGGGGTCCACTGACTCCCGGGTGCATAGGAGCAGGAGGGAAAAGTACCTCAGCAAGTGCTGTTCCACTCACATTCGGCGCAGTCCCCTCCCTGACATGTACTTTGTTTCATTCGTTGCACAATGATTTTGAGTATAGCTTTAGAACAAAAAAAAGGGCTTTTTATAGATAATAATACTAGCAACAGCAGTAGCACTCAAACTGTAATGAACAAAAGGGGATTAAAAATGAAACAGGAGGTGACAATTATACTGATGCGGCTGTGTCCTATCTACTACACGCTGCAGCAAAAATTAAGCAAAAATCCCATCATTTTCAGTTGCACATCCTTGCACAAAGATATGATGGTCCAAACTAAACAACTTTTGTTTACCGAGACTAATGAAGTATAACAATGCTAAATTCCAATGCATAACAACTTAATTATGTCTCAGGGGCTATAAACATGAACGGCTTCATGAGAAGGAATTTTTGCACGTGAGTGATGATGGAAAGGAAGCACAAGTGTTGGACACATTCAGTGGCGACACTTCAGGGAAGCAGGACAGAAATGCAGAGAAACAGGTGGGAGTTGCAGAGTTTATATGACTGCAAAAAGTAAAAATTCTAATGTGCATAGCATTATAAATATTCTTCTAAAGTCCATATCCTATTGCCTCTCTACAGGCTTTTGTTAGAGTGGCTATGGACCCTTTGATTGGTTGAGCTGCTGTGTTGTCACAGAGGAACGGTGCCAGCAGAAGGACTCTGTAGCTGCCACTGGCTAAGCTGCCCATATCCTAGACAGGGGAGGGGCTGTGGCTCAGCAGCTAAGCAAAGGCATTGCATACAGAAGGTCCTGGGTTCAAGTCCCCAGATCCCCAGTTAAAGGACCTTCCTCTGCGCAAGATCCCAGAGAGCTTCTGCCATCAGCGCAGACAACACTGAGCTGGATGAGCCAATGGTCTGATCCAGTAAGAACCAGCTTCATATGTTCATAAATCTGTGTATCAAGAGCGGAATCCCAGATATGGTGACAGGTGCACAACACTGGCTTGCCACAGGCTTTTCCAGGCTTTTCATGCAATCTTTCCTTAGCTACCATATGCTTAATGGTTTCATGAATATATGCATAAAACAAACTAATAATCGCCTACTAGGGAGGAATTATATAAGGACAACTACCAACTAAAGGGAGGAATTATATAAGGACAACTACCAATTTCAAGGAGGATAAACCAAAATTTATTGACATCTCTTCTAAAAAAAATGCTGTTTGGGATCTGGTGTGCTATAATGCAACTCAATACCAAAAGCCAAGAATAAGTTATAAACTCATTTTCAGACCATGTTTCCCCCCCACCTCTGTAGGCTGCTTCATTATCACAAGGCCCACTGAAAACCATCGACTTCTCTTCCAAGTAGATCAGGGCTTTATAAATTCAACACCGAGGCTTCAAAGATTTGTGACACCTCTGGAGCGGTAAAATCAAACTTGTAAATTGCAGTGATGAGGTCCGAACCTGTCTTCTGCTTTCTCTGATGCTCTTTCAATGACATGATTGCATCGGTGCCTTGACGGATTGACTGAGAGAGTGTTCTCTCTTGGCACTACGTTTGTATAAATCTATTTTCTCCTCCGAGACTTTGTCTGATGCTGAAAGATTGTCACAGAGCATCCAGGAATAAAAGACAATGCCCACCACCATAAGAGATTGTCTGGTCTCTACCATAAATACCCCTACAAGGTTACCCTGGAACAGTACTGAGTCAGAGCTTAAAACTAGAGGCACAGAAAACATCATAGGCTGAACACTTCCCACAGCAATGCTGTGAGCTGACATGGGTTGCATCCAGTTGGACGTTCATGACTTCTGCAGGCTTGCAATAAACTCCAAGATGTAACCTTCTTCAAGAAGGGAGTCCAATGGCATGGTAAAGGCTATTTAAATTCACTATGACCTAAAGTTTCACTAAAGGTAAAAGTTCCCCTTGCTCGAAAGCTAGTCGGATCTGACTCTAGGGGGCGGTGCTCATCTCTGTTTCCAAGCCAAAGAGCTAGCGCTGTCCGAAGACGTTTCCGTGGTCATGTGGCCGGCATGACTAAACGCCGAGGTGCATGGAACGCTGTTACCTTCCCACCGAAGCGGTACCTATTTATCTACTTGCAATTTCTTGCTTTCGAACTGCTAGGTTGGCAGGAGCTGGGACAGAAGACGGGAGCTCACTCTGTCATGTGGCACTCGGGTCTCGAACTGCCGAGCTACTGACCTCCCGGTCTGCAGCTCAGCGTCTTAACCTCTGAGCCAAAGACATGATCTAACTGACTTCAGCATCAGATGCAGTGGGCTATACCGAATGAAAGCCACTGGAAAAACAAAGCATTAGCCTTGAAGCGACACTGTGTCATTGTTTGCTGCAACAGACTAACACAGATACTCCCGTGACATCTAACCTCGGTGTTCTGGTTTTGCTGATCTCAGCCGCCGAGGCTCAAAACAAAAGAAAGCGTCAAGTGAGCCTAAAGGACTTACGTGATAAAGTGGCACAGTGTTGCTCTCAGCTAAGGAGAAATTCAAAACCTCTTGCTGTCCACCAGGTTCAAGCCGCACGCTCACAGACGAGGTCAACATGGAGGGGCTAATGGGGTAATTGGGGCTCCCGCTGTTCTTGCCCTTTTTCCGTGACCTTCGCCCGGTGTCCCTCTTGTTGTCTTTCTGAGTCAGAGGCTCCTCCTGGATCACCAAGATCTTGTCATCGCTCAGATACCGCAGGAGTGAGTTCTCCGAATCTGGAAGGGAGGGAGGGAAAATGGAAAGACAACTAAGATAAACAAAACTCCACTTCAGTGCCGATAAGAACTTAAGCTTAAGCACACTTAGGAGAACAGGCACAAGGGAAACCTCAAGCAGGTCCTTCTGAATATTGCAATGCGACGTTTTCAAGAGATCCCACTGAGCTTTTGTTCAACAGGGAGGCATCTCTAGTCCTGAATATTTTGCAAAGCATTAGACACAGCTACATCCGACCAGATCTTTGCAGCCTACAGACCCCCCCCCCCAAAGAGGCTCTTAAAGACAAGTAGTTCTTTGGCATGCCTACTTGGAGGAAGCCGGTCTGTATAGCATGATAACTATAAAATGCATTTCACTTTGCTTCTTCCTTCGGGGAAATGAGATCAACAGCTCTTTGCTCTTTCACCTACTGAACAGTCCCTCCAAAACTTCAACATATATTCAAGGAGAAGAGATAAGTTATTTGAGTTTTAATCTTGAACACTTGAAGCCACCTTATACTGAGTCAGACCACTGGTCTATCAAGGTCAGTGCTGCCTACTTGGACTAGCAGAAACTCTCCAGGGTCTCAGACAGATGCCTTTCACATCGCCTACCACCTGGTCCTTCCGAATGGGGGTCGAACATGGGATTTTCTGCATGCAAAGCAGTTGTTCTATCACTGTGCCATGGCTAGATTTGCAACATGTCTTGGGATGTGCATGTTTGATAGACCCCGACATTGCTACAGAATTTGCAGCTTCCTGCTCAAGAGCAGCATTGGGAAATGGGGGGGGGGGAGAGACGGAATGTTCTGATAAACTCTCGCTTTTGTGTGCTGGCAAAAGCACTCACCTCGGCTGCCCCTCTTGTACATATTTGTCTCTTTTGATTCTCCTATCCAGCTGTATTCTGTTGGCATAGAAACTGGTCTCAGATCACCTGGAAAAAGTGCAAAAGGAAAGCAATTAAAATTTTGGAACTCATTAAAAGAAGGGTTAGTTAGTTATATGCTCAAAAGGCACAGTGCATGTTAAGTTGGGAGGGGAAAAACCCAGCAATCTGGTGCACCTAACAATTGGTGCGTGCAGTTTCCAGAATGTGCTGGAATGATGGAAATCTATAAACAGGAAAGGGCCAATGGTTTGTATCTCTGCCCACCCCCCCTATAAGCAGACAAGATCATCTGTTAGCCTATGCAGGCTCATAATGAGCCGAAATGGCTCATAAGAATGATCTACCCCTTCAAAGTGCTAAAACAAATTGCTCAGTTTGGGGAGCCGGCTCCCCGTCTCAAGCCAGTTACATGCAAGGCTTCTTAAAATCTGTCAAAAGTCTTCTAGCATCTCTACAATGGCCTGATTTGGGGGGGGGGCAGATATTCTACCACTCCCCACACCACTGCATAGGAACACGGTCACCGCAACTAGAAAGGGATCGTGTAGAACTTGAAAAGGTGCAGAAAAGAGCAGCCAGAATAATCAGGGGGCTACAGCAGCTGCCCTGTGAGGATCTGTTAAAACACTTGGAGTCTTCTTACTTTCTTATGCTCCCTTTTCCTGAGGCATAGAAGGGTTTCCGTGACATAGAGCCGGGTGTTACAGAAAAAGGTTTTGGTACAACTGAAGCTTAGGCAGAAGACTTAAAGCTGGCTCCAGATGGGGGCTGGCGGCAGCAAGCAGAGCGGGGAATGGGAACAGCCTCCATGTGCCCCAGTCCTCCAATGCTTGTTGTTGCTGCTACTGCTGCCCTAACCTCCACTCCTGCCCCTGCTGCTTCCTGTTTGGTGTAGTGGTTAAGTGTGCAGACTCTAATCTGGGAGAACCGGGTTTGATTCCCCACTCCTCCACTCGCACCTGGCTGGATGACCTTGGCGTTTCTGTCAAGTGCTCTCTCAGCCCCGCCTACCTCACAGGGTGTCTGTTGTGGGGAGGGGAAGGGAAAGGAGTTTGTAAGCCGCTCTGAGACTCCTTTGGGTAGTGAAGGGCAGGGTATAAATCCAATCTCTTCTTCTTCCTCTGTAGCACCTGTGGATTGTGTGGCTGCCCTCACAGCCCGCATCCCCCCTTTCGGCCCTTTAAAGGGGTTTTCTTTTCTTCTTTCCTCCCAGCTGTGCTGCAGGGCTACAGCACAGCTCAGTCAATAAATGAAAAGAGCCTCTGAAGGGCTGGAAAGGGGGCAGTATGGAGCTTAGCGCCTTCCTCCTCCCCGTGATGGCTACAAAGAAGTGTCCAGGTGAGCACTCTGCCCTACAGTTTCCCCTTTCCTTCATAAGAACATAGGAACATAAGAGAAGCCAGTGTTGGATCAGGCCAATGGCCCATCCAGTCCAACACTCTGTGTCACACAGTGGCCAGAAATACCAGTGCCATCAGGAGGTCCACCAGTGGGGCCAGGACATTAGAAGCCCTCCCTTCAGAGCAACTGGTTTTGTATTTTCTGTGGAGCAAAGGCGGGGGGAATAGGAGCCAGATGAGCTGAGTACAGACTGGACATAGTGCTGTCTGGATGCTCCCCATTACAGTGGGGCGTTCCCGCTGCCCCTGTGGGAGGAAATGCCCACGTGGGAAGCACTCTAAACAAACAGATAATGAATACTCAGATGGGTCTCAGTGACCTTGCCCAAGACCGGTCATGAATAGGTTGGCATGTCTATGCAGAACTGGCAGATACGCAACCTGCACCCATAATCTGTACTTTGCATTTTTTGCCAATCACGCGGAGAAAGTGCAGGCTCACACAGCTTGTGTTCTACGAAGAACAAGCAATCAACTGGTGGTGTTGGAGATGAGCATTTTATCCTCCACATTTAGTCATCTTCAGAGAGCTTCAGTGAAGGGGTTTGGTAAATTCTTAGCACAAGCGTCTGACAAGCCTCCACCACTTCCCACTGAGTCCTGGAACTCACCCTTGTGTGCTAACTGACTATGTAGGTGGCATCGCCCTAGCCTCCATGCAGGGTAAAGGACAAGTGGTCATACTGCACCTGTCTTTCCCTCCCTATCATGGCTAATAGTGTTTTCTCATAGCTCCTATTATTGTTAGACATTGGGAAACCTGGTCATGTACCCCCAACATCACATAGTCCCTGGTAGGTCATTGACTGATTAATGGAATTTATGCACCTGACTTTCTGCCATTATTAGCACCAAAGGGGGCTTACGATGTTATAAAAACAGTTCAAAACAAAAAATGTTACAATACAGCTTAAAATAAAAGGTGAGCTCAGACTATTGTTATGAATCTTTAAAGTGCTGCAGGATTGCCCTTACTGCAGAGAACCTCTTTAGAATTGACAGCATTTATGGTAGTTGATGCCCACTGGAGTTGGTGAGCAATAGATTCAGGATAGTTGAAAGGAAGCACTTAAGAACATAAGAGAAGCCAATGTTGGATCAGACCAAAGGGCCATCCAGTCCAGCCCTCTGTCACAAAGTGGCCAAAAATACCAGGTGCCATCAGGAGGGCCATCAGTGGGCCCAGGACACTAGAAGCCCTTCCACTGTTGCCCCCCCCCCGCACCAAGAATACAGAGCATCACTCTCTTTGGGTGAAGAAGTACTTCCTTTTATCTGTTCTAACCCGACCGCTCAGCAATTTCATGGAGTGCCCACGAGTTCTTGTATTGTGAGAAAGGGAGAAAAGTACCTCTTTCTCTACCTGCTCTTTCCCATGCATAATCTTATAAACCTCAATCATGTCTCCCCTCAGTCGTCATTTCTCCAAGCTAAAGAGCCCCAAGCGCTTCCAACCCTTTTATCATTCTACTTGCCCTTTTCTGCATTTTTCTAATGCTATAATATCTAACTAACTTCAGCCCCGGTCACACGGGCTGGAAAATGCGGGGGGGAAGCATGGCTGTTTGCCCCGGAGCAAAGTAAAACGCGGCAGCCCAATCACACGTTCCGTCGAGTTCCGATGGTTAGGCCGTTAGGTGCCGATCACATGGCTATCCCGAAGCACGGCAAAGAAGCAGCGTGGTGCGATCACACCGGCAATCGCTAGGTGCCGCTTCCGTGGCAAATGGGATTTTTTCCCTCTCACCGACGTTTGCGCATGCGCCGTGGAGGCGTTTGTGCGCATCCTGTGGAGACTAAAAAAAACCCATCCGGTTTGCGATGGGACATGGACGGGTGCCGGATGCCATGGGATTCAAGTAGAAATGCAATCAGACGCACGCCCCTGCCCCGCGGTTTCTGGAAACTAGTGCGCTTTCTGCAGTAGTTTTTTACTCCACATCTTCAGCGGGAAGCCACAGGTTAGCCACGGGTGCACTACGCTTCTCAGATGTTGCAGTGTGATTGAGCACCGAAAATCCACCTGTCATTCATGTCTTTAGCGCGGCAACTTCTCCGTGTGAACGGGTCCTTCTTTAGTTAGTGGATAATTAAATTGTAGAATGCACTCCCCAGTGGATGTAGTGATGGTCACTGTTCTGGATGGCTTTAAAAAGGGGATGGGATACATTCATGGAGATGTCCATCAATGGCTACTAGCTGTGATAACTAAACAGAAGCTCCACATTCCAAGGCAGTAAACCTCTGCATAACAGTGCTTTAAGGCAACATCAGGGGAAGGCCTTGGCATCGATGCTGTTTGTTGGTCCTCCAAGGAAACTAGTTGGCCATTGTGTGAAAGCGGATGCTCAACTAGATGGACCGCTGGGCTTATCAAGCAAGACTCTTATGTTCTTATGCCTTTGTTTTATAATCTTTGTATTGTAAGGTTTTAACTTAAAAATGGATATGGACCACATTTATCGGTTCATGTGTTTTCTGACTCCTGTTTCTTTTTGGTGACAGTTGTTAATTTAGACAAATAAACTGACTTCAATTACACATTTTCAAGGGTACATTGAAAACATCTTACGACAGGGGTGTCAAACTCATTTGTTATGAGGGCCAGAACTGACATAAATGAGACCTTGTTGGGCCGGGCCATGTGTGCCATAAAATGTAATGCCAGATAGTGGAGATATAAACTTCATAAAGCACACAAACATGAAATTTTTTTTTTACTTAAAATAAAAACACGCTTAAAACATTAGCTCTGTAAGCTGCAAACCTACTTTTGATTTATTGACATTCACCATGGAAATCTCATGCTCAGAGTTCTGAGTCAAGGACCCAGGTTAAAACATGAAATGGCTGAGTGATTAAGAGAGTCTGGTGAAGCAAGTTATGATGCAGCAGCAGCAGAACTGGAAGCAGGAGATGGCCAGTTCCACTACGGGCCTAATGGAAGCCCTCCGGGGGCCTGATCCGGCCCCTGGGCCGCATGTTTGACACCCCTGTCTTAAGAGGTTTAAAGGATGTGTGAATGGGCACTCCACTGCTGCTGTTTAAAATCCATGCACTCCACCTTTTGCATGCCTTTTTGGAAGACGGAGGCATCCATCACGTGCATTATTGCATACAAACTGAACGACCAGCTTGCAGACATCTCAAGGGGAAAGGCACCTAAGAGCCTTTGAAACCCGGACTTAGACGCTATGTTTTATTCATAAAACCTTTCGGATTTGCTCTGCCTCTACACAGTGATTGCATACTTCTGTACCTCCATTTTCTACTGAGAAAACCCGGAGTAGCTGCAGGAAGAGAACCATTAAGACAGAAGGAGATCTGTAAAACTGTCTACGTAGGACCCTCTTTCTGACCTTGTCAGTCTCCATCATCGTCAACACTCACATTACACTCTAGATTGTATCAACTCCCACCTGAGATATAGAGGCAATAATAATAGTATCAATGATAATGATGATAATGATAATGATAATGATGATAATCCTTTGCAAATGCCAGTCTGGCTCTGATTTCCGAAGCCTGTTTGTTTTAGAAAGTCAAGTTATTTTCTGAAACATTAGATACTGGCTGAGCTTCCAGCTCCCAAAATAAACCCAAAGCTGGAAAAGGCTGGATGCAATCAAGAGGTTCTTTTCCCTT